TATATATATATATATAATATATATATATATATATATATATATATATATATATATATATATATATATATATATAATGCAAAACAACCACTGTGAAAGAATAGAGAAGTTCCAAGCGCTTTCGTGACTACTCACATTATCAAGGGACATTGTTCCTTGATAATATGAGTAGTCACGAAAGCGCTTGGAACTTCTCTGTTCTTTCACAGTGGTTGTTTTGCATATTCTGAAATCACCTATTTACTGTGATCTTATTGCATATACATATATATATATATATACATATATATATATATATATATATATATATATATATATATATATATATATATATATATATATATATATTAAATATATATATATATATATATATATGTCGTGCCGAATATGTAAAACTGGTCAATTAGCAAAAACTCATTTAAAATTAAGTCCTTTCTAAAATTTTCTCTTATACGTTTAAAGATATATTTTTTTTCAATAATGTTAATGTAAAAACTTTTAATTTTGCACCAAAAGAATCTTAGAAAACTTACCTAACCTTATTATAACAAGAACAATTTATTTTAGCCTAACCCAACTATATATATTTTAAATTTGTTTACAATAATTTAATACTAAACAAACAGAGTGAAATATATTTTTTTCGTTATGTTCAGAATGATTTTGGCGAAATTATTGCATACACAAATTTTCACTTGTCTTATATGGCAAGATAAACGTAGCTATTTAATCCAAGATCGCAAGTTCTGCCTATTCGGCACGACATATGTATATATATATATATTATATATATATATATATATATATATATATATATTTATATATATATATATATATATATATATATATATATATATATATATATATATATATATTATATATATATATATATATAAATGATCAACTGAAATACCATTGTTGCAGTTGATCACTGATTTTGTGAGCCTTGTCGAACTATGTGTTCGTTAGAACTGTTTTAGTTTCGAAAACAACAAATATAAATAAGTGTTCGTGCTGACCATTAGCTCACCCCTTAGTGCAGTATTATGGCTGCGGTACGTTGATGACATTTTGGTCATTATACCCAAAAATCCAGATGTACGTGATATCCTCAACACCATCAACACGCCGGAACCTACTATTAAGTTTGCACCAGAGGAAGAGAAGGACAACTAACTATCATTTCTCGTTGATCTTCCACTCACTGGCGAAAATAAACTTTCTTTTAAAGTCTACCGTAAACCTACCTACAAGAACGATCTTCTACATTTCTTCTCTCACCATGACACCAGAACTAAAAGAGGAGCAGTTATAGGCTTCTTTCTGAGAGCTTACAGAATTTCCAGTCCGCAGTTCTTCGAGGAAGAACGTACATGCATAACACATTCTTTTAGTTCACTATACTTCCCCCTACACCTCATACGTGACTGCAGGAAACGTTCGACACGTATCCTCAACAAGACCAACGATAATCAACTTGAAGAAAAGCTTTCAAGTTACATTGTTTTATCGGTCAGAGACATTGCAACTAAAGCTCCAAAATTTTTTGACAGAAAACTAGCTAAAACATCCACCAGCTTTTCAGCTACTATTAAAATCCTAGTACAAAAAAAAAAAAAAAACATGTGGGGTGTGTGACAAAGTATATGTGGGGGAAACAGCCAGATCTCTGGATGTTAGGATCAAGAAACACAAAAACGCTTGCAGCAATGACTACCGTAAAAACGCGTGTGTTCAACATAGGGACGATGTTGGACACCTCATGACATTCAGTGAGGCTAGACTAGTAATTAAGGGAGACGATTTACGACGGCGAAAGTGCATAGAAGCTTCCCTAATTGCGGTCAGTAACATTATCCATCAAAAGTCCGGCATTTACACTATCTCCAAATTGCTAATCAACAAGATATTATCCATTTTGGAGACCGCTGTAACATGATGTCGACAGGTCCTTCTCCAACCCGTCTCTCCATAATTACTACTACTACTACTACTACTACTACTACCACTACTAGTACTGAAGATTGAGATATTTATGCAACATATGGGAATCTTTATTTCGCCACACAGTGGCTTCATCAGTCCAATACAAATCAAAAGAGTGAAAGGAGAGGAGGAGTTTGAGGTAATCAGTCCCTCAGCCTTTGGACGAAGACCTACTTCGACTGGTGGATGGTACCCTTATGACCCCGCCTCCTCCTGACTACAGTATATAAACCACTTCTACGGCCCTATGCTGTACTTTCTGCTAGATTGATGGACTGAACACATCGACTCCAGGCTGAGGGACTGATTACCTCAAACTCCTCCTCTCCTTTCACCCTTCTGATTTGTATTGGCCTGATGAAGCCACTGTGTGGCGAAAAGTTTCTTCAATAAAGATTCCCATATGTTGCATAAGTGTCTCAATCTTCAACTTGTCGGTTTTAAACCATTTATCACACTGCTAGTGCTGCCCATGCGACATTTCACCCGACTCCTGGCACTATAAATACTCGTTTTCTTAGTTATCTCTGTATTAGGACTGAAGAAGCCACTCGTGACGAAACGTTTCCTTTAATAAATGTCCTGAACTGAACTGTATAAGTATCATTTTACTAGATATAACTTTCTCAGCCTTTTAAAAAAACAAATGGATGGTTAAAATTTCTCACATGAATAAACAGATCATTATAATCTTGTCCATTTGTAATGCTATATTTATGGTGTCGTAATCTTAGTTCAAGACTTTTACAAGTGTGACCGTAATAAACTGTATCACATATTTTACAATGAATCTTTCAGACACAACCGTCAGCAATTCTGGGGGAAATTTTTATCCATTTTTTTTCACTGTATCAAGATTTTTAAATGCAACTTCGATATTAAAATTCTTAAAACAGAAGGCATATCAACCAAGTTTTCATGGTATGGGAGAACCAACATATTTTTTGTTGAAAGATTGGTTGTCCTAATTCCTTATCACGACCTTATTCAACTATAAATATGTTGGTTCTCTCTTACAATGAAAACGTTGTTGATATGCCTTTTCTACTTAAGAATTTTAATATCAAAGTTGTATTTAAAAATCTTGATAAAGTAAAAAAAAAATGATAAAAAAAAATACCCCAGAAATGTTGACGGCTGTGTCTACAAGATTCCTTGTAAAGTGTGTGATAACGTTTATTACGGTCAAACTTGTAAAAGTCTTGAACTAAGATTAAAACAATATAAATATAGAAGAGGACAACATTCTGATGCTCTGTTTATTCATGTTAGATATTTTAACCATCCAACTGAATTACAAAAGGCTGAGAAAGTTGTATCTAGTAAGTCCATGGTTAGGTTAGGTTAGGTAAGGTTCGTCAGGAAACAGAATAAATGTTTCCTGACGCGGGCCTAAGTCAGATGATGACCCGCCTTTGGAGCTTTGGCCATCTGACCGAGGCCTTCCTCTGGCTTACCGGTCCATCCCTTTAAAAATTATGGTCATTTATAATCATATTTTTATATTTAAGTCCATAGTCAAGAATCAAGTCTTATAAGAAATAGTTTTGAAAATAAATTGGATTCACTTATAATTAATAAAATTTTGGGAAAATTTAAGATACATTATCATAAAAAGATATGAGTTCCTGTTAATCTTTTATTTTTTTAATTCATTGATAATGTGAGAAATCACGAAAGCGTTTGGCATGTATATATGTATATATATATGTCGTGCCGAATAGGCAGAACTTGCGATCTTGGCTTAAATAGCAACGTTCATCTTGCCTTATAAGACAAGTGAAAATTTGTGTATACAATAATTTCGCCAAAATCATTCTGAACCTAACGAAGAAAGTATATTTCATTGTGTTTGTTTAGCATTAAATTATTGTAAACAAATCTAAAATATATTTAGTTGGGTTAGGCGAAAAATTGCTCTTGTTAAATAAGGTTAGGTTAAGTTTCTAAGATTTTTTGAGCAAAATTAAAAAAATGTTTACATTAACATTAATGAAAAAAAAATATATCTTTAAATGTATAGGAAAAAATTTTGTAGAAAGGACTTAATTTTAAATGAGTTCTTGCTAATTGAACCAGTTTTACATAAATTCGGCAGGACAACACACACAATATATATTATATTATAATATAATATATTTAGAAAATATTTATTATAATATTATATATATATTATAATATTATAATAAAATATATATATATATATATTATATATATATATATAATATATATATTATATATATATATATATATATATATATATATATATATATATATATATATATAATATATATATATATATATATATATATATATATATATATATATATATAATATATATATATATATATATATATATATAATATATATATATATATATATATATATATATATATATATATATATATATATATATATATATATATATATATATATATAATATATATATATATATATATATATATATATATATATATATATATATAATATATATATATATATATATATATATATATATATATATATATTCCACAATGCCAGACTGGTGTTGTGGATTAAGTACTCGGTACTCTGATGCCGAGTTCTGTTGTGGACACAGAGATAATTTTTGTAGATGATCTCGCCTGTTTGCGAATTTTTAAGTATGTATGCATTGAATTTCCTTAAGTCTTCTCTTACAATTAAATACACTTATCGTTTACTTTAGTCCCAATAGGCCTTTATTTGGGATTACGATATTCTTGACTGGTGGTGAACAATGTCACGCTGCATTAATGACCCTTGTGGTTCGAAAGGCTTCAAACAAAATCAACCAACCAACCAATCGTTTTCTAGACCTCTCTGATGCTGTCTGATATTATTCATTAATAATCTTATTTATTTTTACAATAAAGCTTTCTGAAATTATATATTTCATTATGTATTGTCCAACATGATCCTCATAAGAATCTCTGAATTTACAAGACATACACAATCATCGCTGAAAAGTTCTCTGTGTCCAGGAAATAGAAAAGATGTTAGCAAGTGGTTAAGCATTTGTTGATTTATTCATGAAGTGTGCGAAACATCTACAGTAGGTCATTTATTTAATGTTTAGAAAGTTTATGTGTATGTTTAAAAATCCAAGTCATTCATCTACATGTACAGTTCAGTATGATGTATTTTGTAGAGTCCTGTTATGAAGGCCTCAAAAGTTTCTTTCTTTTGGTACGTTGGTGTTCACAAGTCTCGTAATTAACTTTTTCCGGTGTCTAAGAGTTTATGAAGGTCTGGTCCATCATAGAGTGCTGACATCAGGATATCTTTAATGCGGATTTCTTCTTGTTTTTATAATTTTGATGTAAAGGTCTCCAATGGTTCTCCATAATTCGAAGTTTCGATGTGTAATCTCTCCAGGTTCGTGACATACGACAGTTCTGGTACTGGTGTGTTGGATGACTGGGGCCCCTAATGCTCTGAGAACTGTGAGTCGTCACTGAAAATAAAGTAATATGAGTACATAAATAGAATGGTATAAAATTTGGGCTGTGAGACATAAAAATATATTATACATTTCATAATTTAGATAAGTTCTGGCAACTTTTAATGTATGATTTTTACTCTGTCTATAATCAGGTATTTGTTACGTTCTGTTGATGATACTTTTCCATAGTGATAAGTTAGCATATTTCACATTACATGCTGTTGTGATTTTATGCACAGTAAGACAAAAGTTACAAACCAGTTTCATTCCTGACTCTTTGACTTATGTACAAGCTAAGATGGCCACATAATATCCCATAAAAACATTCACCATCATGCAGTCAACTGCTGTCTCGCTAGAAATGTACAAACGTCATATATATACTTTTTTTGACACTGAAGATCTCCCACAGAGACTGGTTGATCGAACAAAAAAGAAGATTCACTATCATAAATTTTTACATTCACTGTCATTAACTTTTACAGTAACATTAATGGAAAAATATATCCTTAAGCGTATAAGAGAAAATTTTAGAAAGGACTTAAATTTTGAATGAGTTCTTGGTAATTGACCAATTTTACCTATTCGGCACGATATATATATATATATATATATATATATATATATATAATATATATATATATATATATATATATATATATATTATATATTATATATATATCTATTGATCTACTTACCTGTTTAGGCAGAGACTGGGACAATTAAGAGGGCGTCCTTCCTCTGACCAGTAACACCAGTACTTCCACCTACGATGCCTCCGGTTCCTCTGTGGCGTCCACGAAGATCTTCGAAAAAGAGATGAACTCACATAATACCTGGTTATAAAAGAGCATTATCATGTCGGTGACCTGATCTGCAAGTTAATAAGGTATCCCCTAAGTGGCTGCGTAATCTTTTGTCTGTCTCGGAACTTAAGTTTATAATCTTAGAACCCTCGTCTGATTGTCACGCTCTGAACACTGAAGTATACATACGACATACGTAGGTACAATCACATAGACGCATATGCAAAAGTTTACATAAATACATGAATACGATGCATACAGGTATGAATATGTACGCACACACATTCCTTTATGCAGGCAAAATATATATACACAAGCAAATGTACATACGTATATACATGCACACATAAATATGCATGCAAATATATGCAAACTTTACTGTACGCATGTATACTTATGCACAAGTGCACATCTAAATATGCATATATGAACAATTGTGTACATAAGAACACACATGCCAACAACAGTATTTCCACTCGTATATGCACACAATCATACATATACAAAATTGTACATGCATATATGCCTACATAAATACACACAAACGTAAACATATTTTTTTCATTTTGCTATTGAATTTTATCTCCACTCTACACTATTCGTTTTGCGAGTATTGTAGTAGAGGAAGTTGTGCTTATGGAATAGGTGGATAGCTTGCACAGCAATCGGAATATATCTAGAGTCAACTGAATTCACGTCCAAGACGTGAATTACTTCTTATTATTTCCCAGTAATATTTTTTTCAGATACTGCAACACCGAGACTTACCTGAGACACCACTTGAGCCGCGGTCCTCAAGACTCACAGCCTTCAGACTGCCTTGGAATCCTCCAGATAAGCCTTTGCTGGCTCCACTAAATTCTGCGAATAAGACAAAGAGCTCAGTTTTGCTGTTGCTATTCAAACAAATCTAACCATTCATTTATATTATTATTATATAAATTTATATATATATATATATAATATATATATAATATATATATATATATATATATATATATATATATATATATAATATATATATATATATATATATATTATATTATAAGCATCAACATGAACTGAGGATTGTCAGCCCACAAGTAAAGGTATTGGAATGGTTAACAAGCAAATTAACAGTGGTGACATAACGGTTATCAAAATTACCAATAGGACTTCAGGGCAATATAAAGGAGTTAACATTCTGAATATGGATGTGTTTGGCAATTGATTTCACGCTAGTAAGTTTCGACGTCACAGCTTTGTTCACCCGTGTACCTGTCCCTGATTTGTTAACTTATCTGCAGGAAGAATTACATGTGTTACCCCTGACATTTGATAAGAACCTTATTATTGGGTTGATTAAGTTGTGTGTGGTTGACTGCAAGTTTGAATTTGAAGAGAAATATTACTCTCAAAGTCAGGAAAATGCTATTGGATATCCATTGTCTCCACTATTAATCAATTTTAAATGGAGTTTTTTCAGACTAAGCTGTTGAAAGATATCCTACCCTGTGAAGCTAAGTAGTTCACATATGTGGATGACATCATCCGTCTTTGGCCTAATTTTTTTTTATATTTTATTTAGAACATGACAGTACAAAAATATAATATATAAAACACATATTGTGCTATAACTGTAACACCATCCTACCTAAAGCTAACATTACACTTCACACTTACAACTCCGTGTGGGTGCACAACCCCCCCCCCTTGTTTCCTCATCCTATCACTTAACCCAAACCTGTTGGAGCTACCCAACAGAATTACACAGTGAACAACACTTATCTACACATTCCTCGAAATGATACATAACTTGTACCCTCAGATGCATCCATTTTCACCCCACATTGATGATGTAAGCGACCACTAGAAAACCATTACAGACCATGCAATTCATTGCACTGAACATATTACACACAGACATATTATACCCCCCCCCCCCGTGGTTATCCAACCACCCCACTATTTACCTAACATACTATAAACAATGGATGTTACCTAAACTGATTTCACATATCATTTACCTCCCAACTATGGTGTCTCAACCTTAACATTGATAAGGTTACAAAGAAACACTGACTTAAAAACAGGTAATTTACGTGAATACTAAAACAGACACATCATGTATGACTGAGTACTCGGCACAGGAATGAAACATAACATTTAACAAACAGGATAAGACATTTATACCTATGTTAACATTATCTCTTCACACTTTATTGCAACTCCCCTTAAACACAAAATTGTGTCTACACGTATTTTAAAACTATACTATATCTTCGATATCACTAAAAAACTATGTTATCCTAAGAAGTTTGTAGAGCCTGCTATGTTGACAGCTAGGAAGACTTATCATAGAACTGAACCTAGAATAACCTCTAGTAACAAGAATGTGTTTGTGCTGCCAAACATAAAGAATTTATTAGTGCCCTGAAGAGACACAATATAAAAGTTGTTTTTAAGAATTCACAGACTGTTAAGAGTATGTTGATCAAGAAGTCCCCTAGGTGTAGGTGGTGTGTACAGGGCTGAGTGCTAAGGCTGCAGCTTGTCGTATGTGGGGCAAACTGGCAAATCTCTAAATGTTAGAACTACACAGCATCACTACTCTGTAAGGTCTGCTCAAGAATTCAACCACACACGAGTCTGTAATAATCTGGTCTGTAATAAAGTGGTCTGAAGTGGTTCCATACACTTCATAGCTAGAAAGAAATATTCTCGAGTCTACAAATATTAAACATGATAAACATTCTTTATATAATGGCAGTAGTGGGTTGTTCAAGCAGGATTCGTTTATTATCGAGGCTATCGTGCACAGTCTTAAACCAGATTCTTATGTGAATGCTATGGATTGCCTTAGCTGCCTGGGTTCTACTCTTAGGAAATAGGGCATGAGGTTAGTGTTCCCTTTTGAGGCTCGACCATTAGTCTACCCTTTAGGTGGCTTGCCTGTTTTCCTTAAAGGTGTGGAATTTCTCTCAGACATACGACAACACATCCATATTCAGAAAGTTAAGTCATTTATATTGCCCTGAAGTCCAGTTGATAATTTTGATAACCGTTATGTTACCAATGATAATTTCCTAGCTAACCACTCCATTACCTTTGCTTGTTGGCTGACTATTCTCTATTCTTAAAATACTGAAAGTGTCTGGCACTCAGCACTCGTATGCCTTGGCACTGTATGCTTCTCGCCTCTCCTCCTACCCTCAGTCTTACAAGAGTCCCTTGGAATGAATCTGCTGAGATTTCTTACTCATTTCCGCAACTTTGCAAGCTCCTGATGATGTACTGATTACAACACAAAAGGCCTATAGCTATTATTCAACTCACCCTGTGGTTGTTTTGCATATTATATATATATATATATATATATATATATATATATATATATATATATATATATATATATATATATATATATATATATATATATATATATATATATATATATATATATATATATATATATATATATATATATATATATATATATATTATTTATTTATTTATATTTATATGAAAATCTGAAATAACAGTTACAATAGGTCGTACCTTTCTCGAAAGATAATGGAGAGGGTTCAAATGAGTAAAGGTAAAGTGCAAGCCAGCAGGTCTCACCACCACACCGTGGGGTAACAATAATGACATCTGAAACAAGCCACCAACTGTAAGCTTTGCAAATTTAGCATAGCCACCATCTGCAACTCAGTGCAAGTTTTCACAGAGGATTCATCTCACCCCACAGCCTGGTAAATACTTTAGTTAAGAAGTGATATGGATATAAAATTCTTAAGAGAATTTATATTTCTAAATGTATCCTTGTATAACTATTAAAATGGATATTTGCTTATCCCTCGCTGATCAGGTAATTCAGAGTATGCACTGTGCTTGCTCTCCCTCCTCCTCCTTCTTCTTCTTCCTTCCTTATTAAGGAACTTCAACAACTTGGTTATTAGTACAATTAGACTGTTGCACAAAATTCTTCACACCAACACACAAAAATATTAATATCTTACCTCCGCTTCCTAAACCTTTTCCCCCTGGAAGGTCGAGAGAGGCTTCACCCTTAGAGCCAATAGTTCCTTCGCCAACCAAGACGCCAAGAACCTCTGAAAGATGTAGGCAGTATCGCTTTAGGTATAAAGAAATAGGCAGCATGTTGAACACTAGAATTTCCCTGATTGTAAAGTACCCTTACGATGCCATAAATCTTGGGTTGCAAATAAATAACTACATAACTACTTTCTTACCCAATTGTGCCAAGTTGTGTGTGTGTGTGTGTGTGTGTGTGTGTGTGTGTGTGTGTGTGTGTGTGTGTGTGTGTGTGTGTGTGTGTGTTAGGTAGCCTTTGGACGAGCAGTCGTATTAGGACCCCAAAGTGTCGTAAACGAGAATAAAAGTTTTTTTTAGTAAAAATCTCGTTTTTTCAAGAGGCTTCAACTACATATTTTAATGGTCTAGATTATAGTGTTATCAAATAACCCTGTAATGCTAACTAAAATGCTAAATAATACGCATATAATCACAGGATGACCATCAATTTCAGTATTGTCACTAAAATTATCACTACAACAACTTCTTACGTCTATCGTGAAGACTTACGTCTATCGTAACAACAACTTACGTGCGTCACTCTGAGCTGGTGCTCCCTCCTCCATCTTGGAGTGCAGTGCGCTGTCCAGGAAGGTGTCGCCAGTTCCATAGCCGATGAAATCTATGAATAACAAGCTCCAAATAAGAATGAGGTTAAAATGTATAAAAACTGTCATTTTTTTCTCCGTAAGAATAAGGTAAACAATGTTAATAGAAAAAAATAAATTAGCAAAATCCCGTTTACGGTTTCTTTTCCTACACTAACAAGGGAGCTGCTTATGGAAACCGTTTTTGTAACAACCAGTCCAAAGAAAATTTTTGTAGTAAATCTTTCCTTGCCATCCATACATTCCCTCTAAACAAAAGTAATTTGTCCTCCAAGAGTAGTTTTTCATATTTCATTAAGTTGAAACTTCTGAACCTAATTGAGCATGTTATGTATGGTTATTCTTACCAGAGCGAACAGGTTGAGGGACAACTACGATGTCTGGGGTTGGTAAGGCAGCAGCCAGACCGCACACCGCCATCATAAATGTCAGTTTCAGCTGTGACGATACAACATAAATTATTCAAGATATGTTTATGTGATATGTTTAGGAGAATTCTCTCTTAGAAACCAGTTATTAGTGTTTTAGGTCATAATTTTTTTTTATGCCGTTTTAAGGCAATGCTTTATACTTACATTTTAAAAGTTTCTTGTTTCCCGTCATCTGGTTCTTGGTAACATATTTCACTGAAGCCAATTATCTTAACAGTTTCATAGCTGGAACTTATACAATTAATTCTTCGCCTGTTCATTCAACATTTGTTGATCTCTTATGCGATGCCAGTGTGTTCATTTTCTTTCGTAGTGCACTTTCAATACATAATCATTGATATACCAATACAGAAATATAATTTATATAATTCTGACTGCTTTCATGTAACTGAAAGATATTGTACCAGCTATGTTACTATACCCATGTGATTTGGAATAGCTCCTAGAATTAAATCAAATGGTAAAAGACTAAATAAAAGAACTGTCTTTGCATTAAGTGAATGGATGTAAAATTAGCTAACATGCCCATGCACTCAGCCCTAGGCCCAGACTCGTGGAACTCTGTCTTCAATAAGAACCGCAAGAAATCCCTTTCGCGGACCCAAAGTATGCTATGGAGAAGGAGCATAGATACAGGTGAGATTTCAGAGTCATTAAAAAAACGGATATAGCCCCACTCCATAAAAGAGGCAGGCAACATACCCCCAGTGAAAAGCAGGGGCGCCATTAGTACACTAAGAGAAAACACAACAAGTGCCCGGGGCCCAAGACTGTTCAACAGCCTCCCACCAGGTTGTCTTCAAGAGGGAGCTGGACAGATACCTAAAGTCAGTGCCAGATCAGTCGGGCTGTGGTTCATACGTTGGACTACGTGCGATCAGCAGTAACAGCCTAGTTGATCAGGCCCTGATCCACCGGGAGGCCTGAGCATGGACCAGGCCGCGGGGGCGTTGATCCTCGAAATACCCTCCAGGTAGACTCCTGGTAGGTAGGTAGGTAGATGAAAAAGAAGACACGAATGCAACTCTTGATTATCTATGTCGCCGAAAACTTTCACTGGAAACAATGGATGGAATGAAGAGGAAATTTTTCGGTGTTTATCCCTCAGCCGCAGACGTAGGAACTGAACACTTCAAATCTTTCACTATCGCCAGGATGAAATTCGAATCCTTATTCAACTAAAGAATTCTGCTACGCAGGAGAAACATTGCGGCAATAAAGATACACGAGAATCGCGGATGATACTAGGATCTGCATGAGGCTGTCATCTGCTGAGGACGCGGTTAACCTCCAAGAAGATATAAACAAAGTTTTCCAGTGGGCAACGGTAAATAATATGATGTTCAATGAGGACAAATTCCAACTACTCCGTTATGGAAAACTGGAGGAGATAATAACTAGAACAGAGTATACTACTGACTCCGGCCATACAATAGAGCGGAAAAATAATGTAAGGGACCTGGGAGTAGTAATGTCTGAGGATCTCACTTTCAAGGATCACAACAGTGCCACGATCGCACGTGCAAAGAAAATGATAGGATGGATCATGAGAACTTTCAAAACGAGAGATGCCAAGCCAATGATGATCCTTCTCAAATCACTTGTTCTCTCTAGGCTGGAATACTGCTGTACATTAACATCTCCACTCAAAGCAGGTGAAATCGCAGATCTAGAGAGTGTACAGAGATCCTTTACTGCATGTATAAGTTCTGTCAAGCACCTTAACTACTGGGAACTCTTGGAAGCACTTGACTTGTACTCGTTGGAACCCAGGAGAGAGAGATATATCATAATCTACACTTGGAAAATCTTGAAAGGAATGGTCCCAAATCTGCACACAGAAATCACTCCCTACGAAAGTAAAAGACTGGGCAGGCGATGCAAAATGCCCCCAATAAAAAGTAGGGGCGCCATTGGTACACTAAGGGAAAACACCATAAGTGTCCGGGGCCCAAAACTGTTCAACAGCCTCCCATCAAGCATTAGGGAATTGCCAATAAACCCCTGGCTGCCTTCAAGAGAGAGCTGGACAGATACCTAAAGTCAGTGCCGGATCAGCCAGGCTGTGGCTCGTACGTTGGACTGCGTGCGGCCAGCAGTAACAGCCTAGTTGATCAGGCCCTGATCCATCGGGAGGCCTGGTCATGGACCGGGCCGCGGGGGCGTTGATCCCCGGAGTAACCTCCAGGTGTCTTAGCCACCAATTTAGCAGAATTACATATCATTAATATAATAGTGGAAAATTATTAATGAGCTACACAAGTAGTTTAATGAGCTACACAAGTAGTTTAATGGTGTGTAACAACGTCACTGAGATAATTATCGAAAATGTTCACTTCCTACTCTACTCTACTTCCTATATCAGTAAGTATGTTTTTGTATGATCCACATGAATTTAACACATGTTTTCACATATAATAATAATAATAATAATAATAATAATAAAGGATCAAAATGTTAAATAAATTCAGTAATGAAACTTAAGACATAATTATAACAAGCTGTATAGCCCTTGTGGTTTAGAGCTTCTTTTTTATTATAATAATAATAATAATTATAACATAATGTGATGTATAAATTTTAGTAAAATTTTCGAAACTGAATTAACATTAAAAAAGAACAAGTTTAAACACCTCACAACTTTACCATGATAGTTGCCTTCGATCGAGTGGAACTCGATGTTAAGACCAGGAGAAGAGAACACCGGATGACCTGGGAACAAAGAGTGACCCGTTATAAAGGCTGACAGGCTAATTATCGCCAAGGTCTTATCCTTCAGACGTTTATAAACGCCTACGTATCTCCGTGATATTATTGGCAACACAGGGTAATTGCAATATTTTAATTATGCTTTTGTTTTTCGACGTATTGCTCATGTTAAGTATCTCATTATAAGGTTATAATTTCTTGACACATTTGTTTAAAATAGTTTACAAACGTACAGTAGGTGGCATGTGGTGAAAAATTGACATTAAAGGCGTTTTAATATTAATAATAAAGTAAGTATATTAATATTTGTTTTAATGATTCATTTAATAAATAAAACAGGAAGCAGTAATAATAAAATACTCTTTATGTTGTCATTTTTAATATAATTCAATGGTATTCTTCTTAATTTTAGATTAGAGCAAAACGATCATTAGCTCTGCTTGCCGTAAAGCTTTTGCAATAATTCTGTCTGAAATGTTAGGAGAGCAAAGTTGTGCAATCTTTCTTTACCTTGATGTTTTCTTGGGAAGGTTTAAATTCTATTCGCAGCAAAGATCCTTTCCTCTACATATGAAGTTGTTGCTGTAACAGACAAACCATTCATGTACAGTGAAATTTTTTTTTTCTTCAAATGAATGATTTGTTTCTGATTATCAGGGGTGAGAAGCACTAAGATGGCTAGAGTGTTAAACCACTTACATAAATTATTAGGTAAAAATACAGTGCTGGGAGCAACATGACCACATACCTCACAGTACCACTGTTCAGTGACATTTGGCAATAAGACCATTCTCCTGCGCAAACTAGAGAGGTAGTCTAGAATTTTGTGCATAATCTGTGAAATTTAATGTTCTTATTGAAAGTGCCAGGAATGTGGATTGAACCATTGGATAGCACCTGAATGGAAATTTAATCGAAAACAGAGTAGTTATTGACGCGGAACTTCAGTCACAGATAGAGAAGGAAAAGTAGAAGTGGCGTGATATACTGAAGAGAATCCTTCAGTGCATAAAATTCCTTGCGACAGAGAACCTGGCTTTGCGAGGACACAGGAAGTCATTTCAGCTGGACGATGACTCCAATGTGGGAAATTTCCTTGGCTTACTAAAACTACTAGCCAGGTCTTATCTTTCACCGGGTGTCCAGAACGAATTCATCCACATAATGGCTTCCACTGTTCGCCAGATTTTACTGAGAATCATTCCTAAAATCAAGTACTTTGGTCTCATGTTCAAATCAAATCCTGATCAGGCATACCGTGAACAGATGTCAGATGTAGTGAGGTAGGTGGAAGATGATTTTGAGAGGAAAAATAGTCCGTTTTAGAGAGTTCTTCCTTGGTTTTATCCAGTTAAGCCAGAAGGATTCTGAGGGCATAATTGAAGACATTGTGAAACAGCTAGAGAAGAACGAAATGGAACTACTAGATTGTCGGTTTAACACTTAGTGGATGTACATGCAGCCATTCGCTGCATGTACATGCAGCCATTCGCTGCATGTACGCTCGCATTGACCGTATTCATTAGAGGCTGCAGGAACCAATCATGAACTTTCACGATGCTACCCTGGATTTGAAGCTACCCGAGATCATTTTGATGATGAAAGAGAGGTGTTGGGCAGTAAATCACTCGAAGAAGGACTCGGTCTCTGTCAAGAATGGAATATTGAAGCTGAGACGAGAGAAACGAATGGCTGATTAGAACTCGAGAGACGGTGGGTTAACAACCAAGGAGGAAATTAAAAGAATCATGAAGGGAATACTCGACCGTCTTTACAGAGAAATGGATGAAAGATTCACTCGTTTGCATGGCACTGACACCAAATTTTCGCACTGACGTGCAAAAATTTGGGGGAATTGTAGTTCTGATGTTGATGGATAGCAGCTATATGAAGAAATTTTTGATTGCGGAAGGTTGCTATAAAGTCGGGCCAACATGAAAATATCAAGAGCTGAAGAGTTTCTCGAATTTATTGTTCAGTATGGAGATGAGAGCATCTTTCCCAATCATAACATTGCTATTCAGATCATGCTAACCGCCGCAGTTTCCAACACCAGCTGTGAGAGATCATGCAGCAAGTTAAAACTAATAATTTCGTATTTGAGATCGTCTGTGGGTCAAGACTCTGTGATTATCTATGCTGAGTGTAGAAAGAGAAGAAACTGAATCTGAGCACATCATAGACCAATTTGCAACAGTGACATTAAAGGAGAGGTTTGGGATACTGGAAGAGTGGAATGATATCTAAACTATCGTATATGAGCAATTCTGCTATGATAGTGATTATGTGTGAATGAGGGTGAAAGTATTGCTTCTCTTTTTGGGTCACACTGCCTCTGTGGGAGACGGCCGACGTATTGAAAAAAAGAATATAAAAATACATATAAAGAAAGATCACAGTTAGCAGGATTCGAAACTATTACTGGGGACGGTCAAGATTCCCAGAGAGCGCTCTAGTCCGCTCTGCCACACAAATGCCACATAGACTGGGCAGCCTGGTTCACAAGTCATGTTTCTTTCCCAGCCCACGCACGTCAGTGAGCCTCAAGCATGGATTCAAGCTATTTCAATCATGTTCTGTATGTTCTGACCTCTCGAGCGATTTTTATATCAACGCACCACGCAGAAACAAGCGGGAATGTACAAAGAAAGATCGCAGTCAGCAAAATTCGAAACTACTACTGAGGACATGTATATATATATATATATATATATATATATATATATATATATATATATATATATATATATATATATATATATATTATATATATATATATGTATATATATATATATATATATATATATATATATAATATATATATATATATAATATTATATATATATATATATATATATATATATATATATATTTATTATCACACTGGCCGATTCCCACCAAGGCAGGGTGGCCCGAAAAAGAAAAACTTTCACCATCATTCACTCCATCACTGTCTTGCCAGAAGGGTGCTTTACACTACAATTTTTAAACTGCAACATTAACACCCCTCCTTCAGAGTGCAGGCACTGTACTTCCCATCTCCAGGACTCAAGTCCGGCCTGCCGGTTTCCCTGAACCCCTTCATAAATGTTACTTTGCTCACACTCCAACAGCACGTCAAGTATTAAAAACCATTTGTCTCCATTCACTCCTATCAAACACGCTCACGCATGCCTGCTGGAAGTCCAAGCCCCTCGCACACAAAACCTCCTTTACCCCCTCTCTCCAACTTTTCCTAGGCCGACCCCTACCCCGCCTTCCTTCCACTACAGACTGATACACTCTTGAAGTCATTCTGTTTCGCTCCATTCTCTCTACATGTCCGAACCACCTCAACAACCCTTCCTCAGCCCTCTGGACAACAGTTTTGGTAATCCCGCACCTCCTCCTAACTTCCAAACTACGAATTCTCTGCATTATATTCACACCACACATTGCCCTCAGACATGACATCTCCACTGCCTCCAGCCTTCTCCTCGCTGCAACATTCATCACCCATGCTTCACACCCATATAAGAGCGTTGGTAAAACTATACTCTCATACATTCCCCTCTTTGCCTCCAAGGACAAAGTTCTTTGTCTCCACAGACTCCTAAGTGCACCACTCACTCTTTTCCCCTCATCAATTCTATGATTCACCTCATCTTTCATAGACCCATCCGCTGACACGTCCACTCCCAAATATCTGAATACATTCACCTCCTCCATACTCTCTCCCTCCAATCTGATATTCAATCTTTCATCACCTAATCTTTTTGTTATCCTCATAACCTTACTCTTTCCTGTATTCACCTTTAATTTTCTTCTTTTGCACACCCTACCAAATTCATCCACCAATCTCGCAACTTCTCTTCAGAATCTCCCAAGAGCACAGTGTCATCAATATATATATTATATATATATATATATATATATATATATATATATATATATATATATATATATATATATATATACAAGATCTTCTCATAACGGTTTCCCTGCTAACGTAGTGTCTTTCATTGAAATCATTCCTTAGAGTTGTTTACGTGAAGACAACAGCAATACAAGAATATCAAGTTTGGAGTTTTATAAAGCTGAATGTGACCGACAAAGGCAAACAATAAAGTTGCTAAACAACGTGAAATAATGTTAATGGTTCCACCACAGGGGTGTATCTACGTAAAACAGCGCCTATGGCAAGAGATGAAATTTCTCCCCTGTCCAGACATCTGACACCCATCTTTTAGATAACTTTACCATAAACTCATTCCAAAAATACAAGCCAAGCTTGTTAATCTTTTAATTAACAAATTGACTCTACATGAAAATTACAACTGCACCTTCCTTAAAGTGCAGGCATTGTACCTCCCACCTCCAGGACTCAAGTTCGGCGAACCGGTTTCCCTGAATCCCTTCATAAAACAGCTCGCCATGTCCTAAATGCCATATGTCTCTATTGACTCCTGTTTAACACGCTCACACATGCCTGCTGCATGTCCAAGCCCCTTGCACACAAAACCCTTTTTTACCACCTCCATCCATCCTTTCCTAGGACGACCCCTACCCCTTCTTCCCTCCACTACTGATTTATACACACTCCAAGTCATCTTGCTCCATCCTCTCTAAATGACCAATTCACCTCAACAATCTCTCTTCCTCCCTCTGTATAATACTTTTAGTAACTCTATACTTCTTCTTAGTTTATACACTACGAATTCTCCTAATAATATTTACACTACACATTGCCCTTAGACACGACATCTCCACTGCTCAAGCTTCACACCCATATAAGAGTGTTGGTACCACTATGCTCTCTTACATTACCTTCTTTGCCTCCACGGATAACGTTCTTTGTCTCTACAGATGTCTCAACGCACCACTCACCTTTTTATCTTCATCAGTGCTATTGTTAATATCGTCCTTCATAAACCCATCTGCTGACAAGTCTACTCCAAAATCTCTGAACACATTTACTTCTTCCATAATCCCTCCCTTAAATGTAATATCTATTTTTCTTTACCTAACTCGTTTGATACCCTCATCACCTTACTCTTATTTATGATCACTTTCAACTTTCTTCCTTTACACACCCTCCCAAACTCGTTCACTAACCTATACAACTTCTCTTCTGAATCTCTCAAAAGCACAGTATCATCAGTATCAACTCCCATCTTGTATTCGATTCCCCATAATTTAATCCTATCCCTCTCCCCAACAACCTAGCATTTACTTCTTTTACAGCCCCATCTATAAATATGTTAAACAGCCATTGTGACATTACACTTCCCTGTCTAAGGTGTACATTAACAATAAACGAGAAATGAACACTTTCCGATGCTGATCAGTAACCCAGAGGGAAACAGAAATATGGAAATAAGAGAGACGTCCCATATGTAAAATATGAAACATAAAATAATAATTTAAAGTTCTCCAGTTTGCCAATAACATCACGCAGCTGTTTATAAACGCCTGAAGTATATATCCTGGACGTCAGGTATTGTAGCAGTCTTTATTACTGTGCACACACTCTGTTCACTTCCCCTGCTGTTCTCATCTCTAATTCGTAGCACAGAAGTTAATCAGAATTAAAACAGTTATGATGGTAAGCTTTTGAAGTGTTTACATTTTACTTTGTCATGAGAAATCACATGAATATATTTTAATAAATCACTTTATTGTGTCCATAAAAACAATATATAACCGCGCGTATGTTTTAGTAGTCAAATTTGTTTACTTGCATGCTTATATACAGTACAGCATATGGGGATGATGAGCTTGAGTATTGCAGGAACGTAACACTGTGAATTCTGGTAAATAAACATATTGCACACAAATTATGTAGGATGCAGCGCTAAACTAGCATAGGTGACAAAATTCATGGAAAAGTAAAGGTAATCAGCTTTGATCCTAAGAGTAGGAAGGCAGCTTTTATTCCTAATATCAAAAAACCTTCACCAGCACCCAGGTACCTCACTTTATGGGGGAAATAAAAGTATGAGGTGACGACCTATAAGTCGTCCATACATGTTTAACAATGCATGGGTAACTAATTCTTTGTTCTTACTTTTTATTATATGACTGACTCTTAAAACTTACACACACACACACACACACACACACACACACACACACACACACACACACAACAGAACTGCAGGAGGCCAAGAGAGGAATATGATGAGAACAACAGAGCGATGGTGGACACACTGGCTGAGGTGGCACGAAGAGCTCAATCGTACAGAGCAAAGTTACTGGTTATGGGTGATTTCAACCACAGGGAGATCGATTGGGAAAACTTGAAGCCTCATGGGGGCCTCGAAGCATGGAGAACCAAGATGATGGATGTGGTACTGGAAAACCTCATGCATCAACACATCAGGGACACTACCAGAGAGAGAGGGGAGGATGAACCAGCAGGACTGGACCTTGTGTTCACCCCTGAGTAGCTCAGACATTGATGACATCACATATGAGAGGCCCCTCGGAGCTAGTGACCACGTAGTCCTGAGTTTTGATTACATAGTAGAGTTACAAGTAGAGAGGGTAACAGGAGTCGAAGGGGAAAAGCCAAACTATAAAAGGGGGGACTACACTGGTATGAGGAACTTCCTGCGGGAGGTGCAGTGGGACAGAAAGATGGTAGGAAAGTCAGTAAATGAAATGATGGAATATGTAACAACAAAATGCATGGAGGCGAGTCCTTGGTTTACCCGAAGGTGCAGGGAGGCAAAAACTAAGTGCATTAGAGAATGGAAGAGGAATAGAAGGCAAAGGATCCAGGAACACAAGGAGATCAGTCGAAGAGATAGAAACGAAAATGCACAAATAAGTAGGGAGGTCCAGTGACAGTACGAAAATGACATAGCATCGAAAGTCAAGTCTGACCCGAAACTGCTGTTTAGCAACATTAGGAGAAAGACAACAGTCAAAGACCAGGTGATCAGGCTGAGGAAAGAAGGTGGGGAACTCACAAGAAACGATCAAGAGGTATACGAGGAGCTCAACACGAGATTTAAGGAAGTATTCACTGTGGAGACAGGAAGGACTCTGGGAAGACAGGACAGAGGGGGACACCAACAGGGAATAGACCAACAAGTGCTGGATGATATGCACACAACTGAGGAGAATGTGAAGAAGCTGCTAAGTGACCTTGATACCTCAAAGGCAATGGGACCGGACAACATCTCCCCGTGGGTCCTCAGGGAGGGAGCAGATATACTATGTGCCATTAACCACAATCTTCAACACATCCCTTGAAACTGGGTAACTAAAGGAAGTATGGAAGACCGCAAATGTAGTTCCATTTTTAAAAAAAGAGACAGAAAAGAGGCACTAAATTACAGACCAGTGTCACTGACGTGTATAGTATACAAAGTCATGGAGAAGATTATCAGGAGGAGAGTGGTGGAGCACCTGGAGAGGAACAAGAGTATAAACGACATCCAGCACGGATTCATGGAAGGCAAATCCTGTGTCACAAACCTTCTGGAGTTTTATGACAAAGTTACAGAAGTAAGACACGAGAGAGAGGGGTGGGTTGATTGCATTTTCTTGGACTGCAAGAAGGGCTTCAACACAGTTCCTCACAAGAGACTAGTGCAGAAACTAGAGGATCAGGCTCATATAACAGGAAGGGCACTGCATTGGATCAGAGAATACCTGACAGAGAGGCAACAACGAATCATGGTACGGATGAGGTATCACACTGGGCACCTGTGACGAGCGGGGTCCCACAGCGGTCGGTCCTAGGACCAGTGCTATTTTTGGTGTATGTGAATGACATGATGGACGGGATAGACTCAGAGATGTCCCTGTTCGCAGTTGATGTGAAGTTAATGAGGAGAATTAAATCAGATGAGGACCAGGAAGGACTTCAAAGAGACATGAACAGGCTGGACACGCGGTCCAGCAATTGGCTTCTTGAATTCAACCCTGCCAAGTGCAAAGTCACGAAGATCGGAGAAGGGCAAAGAAGACCGCAGACACAGTATAAGCTAGGTGGCCAAAGACTGCAAGCCTCTCTTAAGGAGAAAGATCTTGGGGTGACCATAACACCGAGCATGTCTTCGGAGGTACACCTCAACCAGATAACTGTTGCAGCATATGGGCGCCTGGCAAACCTGAGAATAGCGTTCCGATACCTTAGCAAGGAATCGTTCAAGACACTGTACACTCTGTACATCAGACCCATACTGGAGTATGCAGCACCAGTTTGGAGCCCACAAATGGTCAAGCACGTCAAGAAATTATAGAAAGTGTAATGGTTTGCAACAAGGCTAGTTCCGGAGCTCAGGGGTATGTCCTACGAAGAAAGGTTGAGGGACATCGAACTGACGACATTGGAGGAGAGGAGGGTCAGGGGAGATATGATAACGACATGCAAAATACTGCTTGGAATAGATAAGGTGGACAGAGACAGGTTGTTCCAGAGAGGGAACACAGAAACGAGGGGTCACAATTGGAAGCTGAAGACTCAGACGAGTCAGAGGGATGTTAGGAAGTATTTCTTCAGTCATAGAGTCGTCAGGAAGTGGAATAGCCTAGCAAGTGAAGTAGTGGAGGCAGGAACTATACATAGTTTTAAGAAGAGGTATGACAAAACTCAGGAAGCAGAGAGGGAGAGAACCTAGTAGCGATCAGTGAAGAGGCGGGGCCAAGAGCTGAGTCTCGACCCCTGCAACCTAAATTAGGTGAGTACAATTAGGTGAGTACACACACACACACACACACACACACACACACACACACACACACACACACACACACACACACACACACACACACACACACACACACACACACACACACACACACACTCACCACACACACACACACACCACACACACACGCACACACACACACACACACCACAACTTCCAACTGTGTCCCCTTGTTACTGTGTCCAATCTCTGGAACTGTGTGTGTGTGTGTGCGTGCGTGTGTGTGTGTGTGTGTGTGTGTGTGTGTGTGTGTGTGTGTGTGTGTGTGTACTCACCTTACTAGGTGAGTACACACACACACACACACACACACACACACACACACAGACACACACGCACACACACACACACACACACACACACACACACACACACACACACACACCACACACACACAAACAAGTATGAGGAGTGGCACGAAAGAATCAAAGAGACATCCCCAGACATAATAGCACTCACAGAAACAAAACTCACCAGAATAATAACAGATTCAATCTTTCCATCCGGATATAAAATCTTCGGGAAAGACAGAGGGAGAGAGGGGGAGGAGGAGTTGCACTGCTCATTAAAAACCAGTGGGGTTTTGAGAAAATGGAAGGAAGGGAAAGGCATGGGCGAAAGGGGACTACTTAGTAGGAACAATCCAGTCCCGAGGGACATAAGGTGAAATTGCAGTAATGTACAACCACCACAGAACTCAGGAAGCCAAGAGAAGAATACGATGAAGAAACAGAGCAATGATCAACACACTAGCCGAGGTGGCCAGGAGAGCACACATGGGGGGAGCAAAGTTATAGTTATGGTGATTTCAATCACAGGAGATTGACTGGGAAAACCTGGAGCCCCATGGGGGTCCCGAAACATGGAGAGCCAAGATGATGGATTGGTACTGGAGAACCTCATCATCAACATGTTAGAACACTCCCAGAGAGAGAGGAGAGGATGAACCAGCAAGGTGTGGCCTTGTATTCACCATGATAGTTCGGACATCGGGGGAAATCATGAAAGAAAGGCCCCTGGGAGCTAGTGATCATGTGGTTCTGTGCTTCGACTACATAGTTGAGCTCCAATGGAGAAGTAGCAGGAATAGGCTGGGAAAAACCAAACAAACAAAAGGGGGAACTACTCAGGCATGAGGAAATTCCTTCAAGACATCAGTGGAGAGGGAACTGACGGGAAAACCAGTACAAGAAATGATGGACTAATGTAGCAACAAAATGCAAGGAGGCAGAGGAGAGGTTTGTTCCCCAAGGGAAACAGAAATAAGGGAAGAACAAACGAGCCCCTTGGTTCACCCAAAGGTGTAGGGAGGCAAAAACAGGTGTACTAGAGAATGAAAAGGTACAGAAGACAGAGAACTCAGGAAAATAAAGAAATCACCGAAGAGCCAGAAACGAATATGCACAGATAAGAAGGAAGGCTCAGAGACAATATGAAAATGACATAGCATAAAAAGTAAAGACTGACCCGAAGCTGTTTACAGCCACATCAGGAGGAAAACAACAGCCCAAGGACCAGGTAATCAGACTGGGGAAAGGGGTGATGGGGAAATTCACAAGAAACAAACCGAGAGGTATGTCAGGAGCTCAACACAAGATTTAAAAGAGGTATTTACAGGGGAAACCATAGGACTCCAAGAAATCAGAACAGGGGGGCACACCAGCAAGTGCTGGATGGGGTACATATAAACCAAGGAGGAGGTGAAGAAGCTGCTATGCGAACTTGACACCTCAAAGGCGGTGGGACCAGACAACATCCTCCATGGTCCTTAAAGAGGGAGCAGAGATATGTGTGAGCCATTAAAAAAGATCTTTAACACATCATTTGAAACTGGGCAACTCCCTGAGGTATGGAAAATGGCAAATGTAGTCCCAATTTTTAA